TATTATTAGTACTCTAAGTATTTATCAAATCAGAAATTTCTATGATATATATATATATATAATAATTTATTTACTAAAAATATTGATTGTATTATCTCCTAATATAAATTTAGTAGCAGTATCAAAAAAGAGGGAACCCATATGCAGGAAGTTTAATTCCGAAAATTGTGTTTTAAACTAACTTGGATGTAAATTATGAAAAAAACGTTCTACGGGGACTTGAATTTAAATCATGAATAACAAAATTTCAATCTTTGAAAAAGAAATTAATAATTAAAAACAAGTAATTATCGCTATTGATCGGAAATTAGTTAACTTTTCAAGGGGAACAACCAACTTCCGTTCAATGAACAATAATTAATCAAAATTGAAATATATATAATAAGAAAGTAAAATGTGAATTGTACGTGAAGATATAATTTGAAATGTGAAATGTACACGAAGATATTGATTAAATTTTTCAATTTTATTTTATTTGTCTTTGCAAAGATAGCATTGTCATATTTTTCAATTTTTTCATTTTTATTTCAATTACTTTGAGTTCTATTTCCTAATTCCAATTAAGATTACTACTGTTTATTTTTATAAAAATAGTCTTGAATTAATAATGCATAAAAGCGAAGATGTCGGAGGAAATTTAATCAAGTATCTTGTAAATTTTACTCCATAAATTGCTTTTCACTCAAAATTTATAAAGAATCTTGTATTCATTCAGAATGAGTTCTTTGGTACTCTACTGTGGTTATAAATCCCATCACTTCACGGAACTACTATTTTGACCTAACTTAATTTGCCAGTTTGGCATCATCATTCTTGAGTAAAAGACGAAACACCTTCGCATTTATTAATTATTGTTCATTGAACCGCAGTTGAGTCAATTTGTTCCCCTTGAAAAAGTCAACTAATTTCCCAATCAACAGCGATAACTTACTTGTTTTTTAAAATTTATTAATATCTTTTTCAAAGATTGAAATTTTGTTAATCACGTGATTTAAACTCAAGTTCCCCATAAAAACTTTTTTTTTTTTTTTTTTTTTCTTTTCATGATTTACATTCCAAGTTACTTTAAAACACAATTTTCGGAATTAAACCTCCTACATATGGGTTTCGCTCTTTTTTTATACATTCTACTAAATTTATATTAGGAGATAATATAATCAATATTTCTTTAGTAAATAAATTATTATTATGCTTTGCAGCTATTTGCGCAAGTATTAGAAAAACTTGTTTTCGAACTAAGTGAATTTTAGATCATTCAACATATATATATATATAAATCCTATATATATATACATATATTTGATTAGCTTTTTTTTCGAAGCTGAAAATTAATAATCAAAAGCCCGACTGACTGACCGATGAGTATTAATAGTCCGTGATGAATATAGTTTCCAGTAATTTTTATCCAAGGCTGCAAAAGTTATCAGAATCGAAAGGCCAGCAAGTGTCAAGTTGTAGTAAGGACTAAAGAAGCATATAAGTAATTACATACAAACATATGTATTTTTTCTTAAATGTCGAAGAAAATTTAATCCCGCAAAAAAAAAAAAAAAAAAAAAAAAAAAAAAAAAAAAAAAAGAATTTGTTGTTATATATTCTAAGGTTTTCTTCAACGTGGAAAGTTTTCATAATTTGTTCAAGTAAGTTATTTAGTAGTTAATTCAACATATTAAAACTCTCTGAAATAAATGTCAGTATGAAAATTTAATATTTAGCTTGCAGGGCTCTGGGCTATGTCTAGAAGTTTAACCCAATGTTCCTTAGTAGACTGACAAGCGAGTTATCGCTCCAGCTGGAATTCAAAAGACAACATCTTATGAAGTTTAAAATAACCTTTTAATTTAACTCATAAAATTGAGAGAAGACATTACTTGGGTTGCAGACGAAACTCCACTACTTGTGGGTATTTAAAATAAAATAAGATCAAGTTAAGCTCAAGTACCGTAGAATGAGACTACACATAAAATAATTTACTAAAGCTGGCTCAAGTGGTTAACGACGCGCTTTTAACGTCGGCTAGCAAGGTGGTTAAAGCTGGATTAAACTTTGCCACAGCTGACGATATTACGTAAACGCAAGCGAGGTTGCCAGAATTTCTAACTGTAAAACATTCGAACTTTTAAATACTTAACAACTAATTTGCACTCTGGTGAGAACTACAGAAAGAAGTTGTGGTAAAGTTTCAAATCATAATGACTGATTAATTAACGTAAAATTCTACAAGCTGCCAGTGCGTTTGAATTACAAAATGTAATTAACAGAAATTTCTTGCAGGTACAAACCTTTATATCTCAGATTGAAAATAAACATAAATTTGAGTTTTTTTCCCTTTTGTGTTATTATTATTATTATTGTTTATGTATGTTTTGATAAATATTTAGTAAATGACTGTGTATCTAGAGAAAATAGAAAAGAAGGAGAAAATATAAGTTTGAGAAATGTAGAGTTAGTATACAGAAAAACATTGTAGAAAATACAATTTAACATTATTGAAATAAATTTTCAGTTAAACCCTATTTGATTATTCGAGTTAAACCCTATTTTACCCTAAATTTTAAGAGTAAAATTTCCAAACAAATTATAAACTTACATGCAACATACATTATGTGTATATACAAACTTTTATTTTGTTTAAAAAAATTCTGGCTCATCAACTGCTTTCACATCGTACATTCGGCCTACATGCGGTTTGAGACTACTGCTCTAGAGCACATTTTCCAACCCTGCAGTTTAATTCCGATTCGCTGAAATGGGTCGTTGTTAGCGGCTCCTACACTGGGAAAATAATTTTATGGGCACTCCTGAAGTCTAGTTTATTGTCATACCATTAATTTCACAAATATATTTTTTTATAAAATGAAATTTACATTTTATTTCAAATCTTGATTAATTTTGATTGATTTCATTCTGCTAAATACATACTAAAAAATCAAATATATTTGTTTAATAAAAATTAATTTGCATTATGTACAAAAATGGGTAGTATTATATTATCTTTCAAATTTTGCTTTAGTATATTTACCATTTGATTTACTGTATTATCTTATGTCTTAGATTTTGCCTCCGTCTTCTGTTATTTAATTATTATAAACTGTTGTAAAATTAAATGTTGTAAAGTGAGTTTAAAATGTTGTTAAGTGAGTCATATATAATAATATGAATTAATCATAGTAATTCATAAACTTCTCTTTTCTTGTTTACTAAAAGCAAATTTTATTATTTTAGGTTTAATTATCTACATAATTGTATGCAAAAATGTGCTCATGCATTTGAGCGAAAATAAAAACTGTACTGGATTAGATGACTTATGCTTGCCAATATAACAGCAGGGAAGGATTTTCTTGCAGAATTTAAAAATTAATTTTTTCAAATACGATTTTAAAACGTAAAACAGAGAGAAATGTAATAATTAGAGATCGCTTAAAAGAAATAAATTCATTTTTAAGTAAAATGTAAGGTGAGCAAAGAAAATCCGTGATTAGGAAGCTTAACATAATATTTTTTCAAAAAAAGTAAAAAAAAAAAAAAAAAAAAAAAAAAAAAAAAATTTTTCAGAACATCAAGATTTTATAAATTTAAAACGCACTTTGGCGTTTCATCACTGTAATTCTAAGCATAAAGAAATCAGTGATGCATTTTAAATGTTCATAAATAGAAATCTATAATAAATTAATTATAATATAATCTATAAATCTAAATCTATAAGTTCAAATGTATTTCAGAGCTCCGGTGTCTGATTTAAATCTACCTTTCAAAATTCAGTTTATTAATGCGCGAAAAATAATTACAAAAATTAGCAGCTAAAATACATAGTTTTATTTTCTAAATATTTTGCTTGTTCTAAATTATGCAGAACTCTGTATTATTAAAACATTTCTTCAAAATAAATTACGCAAATTATTAAAGTAATTATTTCCGATAAATTATTATTTATTTACAAAAATGCAGAACTCTACATTATTAAAGATAAGAAAATGAGTTTATCATTATGACGGTAATTATTTGTTTCATCCACTTTTTTTGGAATGTTATGTACTTATATTCCTATGTTCAAAACGTTTCCAATTAACCTCATGCATTAACGCTCAGGTATATATCACCGTGTTATAAAACTATACACAAGTGCATTCGAATAAAGATGCAAATCAGAACCATAATAACATTTTTAAACTGATGCAAGAATATGATTATAACAAGAATGAAAATGGGAAACCGTCAGATTTGCGTTAGCGAGGTATACAATAAAAACATCAGCAACAGCCTCAATTTAAAATGAAATATAAGCTGAATTTATATCACCTTTTTTTAACTTATTACTGGTGCTATATTATTTGCAAATATCAGCGCAACAAAGGTAGAAAGTTCCTGTTTATGAAAAATGGTAATAACTAAATTTAATTGAATTAATTTTATTAAAAATAAGAAATTTCTATTTATTTTGATAATTAAACGCCATCTTAAATAAAAATGCAGATACTGAATTTAATGAAAAATTGTGAGCACAAATATCATACTTAAATAAAATTATGAAACAGAAGCACATTCTTTAAAAACAATATCTAAATAACTTAAGTAGTGAAATAATATACACTTTTTTTCTTTCTCTTAATAAAAAATGCAGAAACTTCCAGACTTATTATGATCACTACATAAGTAATGAATTGTTCAGGAAATCATTACAAAACAAAAAATTAAATTATTAAATAAAACAAAAAATGATACACAGAAGAATCTAGATAAGTTAGAAATGTAAGATGTTAACTCATATTGTATACTTAGAATACGTACTAATTTTGGAAACCACACATTTTTATTAAGTATCACATGCAATATCTGCGGCATATAGAGAAAAATACCAGGAACTTATAAATAAATTTCCGATACTCTATTTCAGAAATATTCATTGGATCTCGTGTACAACGTTTCGTTTACCTGCTAAGCAATTAAGTTCAATTATAATAAAACATTTGAAAGATATAAATAAAAATCAAATAACTTACACTATCCTCTAAAAACACATTTTTCTGCATTATCCCGTTTCGCAATCTGACTATGAATACCGATTCTTTCAGCACTAATACTATCCAGTTCCTCACAGCACTGTCTACCAAACCAAGCCGAGTTTCATTGTCTAACTTTAACAACTTTAAACTGAGCATGAGTTACCTTCACCTTTGAAGCAACGTAGTAAGCAAGCAACTGACGAAAACTTTTTTCCTTTCTCAAGGAGAGAATGTGTACCCAACACAAAGCCCGGTGCCAGAAAATGCCGAGCTAAAGTCGGAGTCCACTAATTATTGGTGCGCTGCAGCTGACAATGGAACGGGTTGCGACCAAGCGCAACCCCCTCTAAGGTTCCTAAACCCCAAGCATGGCAAAATGAGGGCGCTACAAAAACTGCATATATAATAAAATGTCGATTGTCAATATGCATCGATCTTCGATAATATCACGCTCGGAAGATAATTCGGAATTACTCCCATTCGAGATTTGGATAAAATCTTCAGCGAAACAAAAGGTTAACCAATGCAAAGTACAAAGCAGAGATCTGCACAGTTTCATCGAGATATACATTCATATCATAACGTTAAAAGTGCTTTTTAGAAGCGATCCGAACAATGCTTAGTTCACTACAAGTTCAGCACTTTATCCTGGGCACTGAAATTGACATCGATCCAAATGATAAAAATATCTCTTAACTGAGACACAGGCAGCTAACAACGGACAGCAGACTAGTGTCGCTATTTTTCCGAGAATCTCGAGCCTGTTATTTTTAGTGTACAATATATTAGAGATGAATAGTTAATCAAATTTACACTTTTTGTGATCACAATTGAGAAATGACAAACAAATAAGCCGCTACTATAAACTTCAACATTCTACTCCTCTGCCGCCATCTGTTGGTAAATCTGGAACAGCTCTTCACGTAAAAGGACAGCCAAATGAAAGAGCGAAAAGAAAGAGCACAGAACTCAGATTAAATCAACTAACATTGACGAAAAAGGTGGGAATTTCTTCATTATAGGTGAGAAAAATATTTTCTGATTTAATCAAGAGTAAAATAATATGATGCGAATAGCTTATAATACATAGTCAGTATTACAAAAATAATTAAAAGTGTTGACTGAGACCGGTATAATAACGAGCACCTGGCAATATTAATAAAATAATTTTTAATATCTATTTGGCATAGAGAATTTAATACAGACCTAATGAAGAATTACTTTTAAACGATATGCTTTTCACTACGCCGCATAAAAAACAAAGATTTAAAGTTTAGGGGGGCGGAAGTTAAATATAAAAACATCCATCCAAATCAAAAGCACATATATATTACAAATTTAAGTGCTATAAAATAGAAAAAGTCATATTCTAGCTGATAATTCGAAAAACGTCTTTAATAAAATTCAATAAACGGGAAATATAAAATTAATAGAAAGCAGAGAATAAATATGCTAAAAAGGATACGATTAGCTTATTGATATGCGATCACTGGGAAGGTTATTAAAAAAATTGGGATTAAAAAAATCTCTAATAATAGCCCTAGTTCAGGACTAGAGGTTGGGAGGATGTATAGTGTCTTCTTAAGCTAAAAATTATTTTATTTAGAAAATGAAATAAATTTATATTTTTCCCATTGCTCAGTCATCTGAATTTCCATGTGACAGCTATGTTCAGAAGTGGTAAGAAGAAACAATTAGACTCACTTTTAATAACCTAAAAAGCAGTAATAGTCCCTTGAAAAGTACACAAAGAGTAAATTACCCATTAAAAATTAAAAAGCTGCAGTCTTAACGAAATTTAAGAGTAAAAGAAACGAAGTAATTTTTTTTCTCTGTATCGCATATGAACCACTTCAGTAAACGACGTTAATTCTGCAATATGTCATTTAGAAGTGGAAAGTACTTTAGCTGTTTCTATTCCTTACATTTCCTAAATTACGCATTTTTACTAGCACATTCTGAGACAAATGAACATTTTACCGAGTTAAAGTTACATTGTAAAAAAAAAAAAAAAAAAAGAGCCCACCATTAGGCGAATGGATAAGGTCATTAATCACTGGAAGTTCGTCTTCGATTTAGTTGTCGGCCGAACGGAAATGCTTCTTATAGTCTCCGAGACTTTTCCTCCACATGCACTCGCAAGCCAGTTCTCTCAGGAAGTTCTCCATGAAGGCATTCCTCTCAAGGTTGATAAATCGTGACCCAATAAATTACTTACTGATTAATCAATCATTAATAAAAAATTGATATAATCTACTAATAAAAAAAGTTAGCCTTTTTTTTTTCATCGTTGGCTGCACAACTGTTCTGTTGGTCGTGCAAAGAAGTCTAAATTCTAGTGGATGGCGTCCATCTAGATCCTCCCGCTTATGAGAATATGCCGCGAAAGGAGGGCTAGCGAAAGTGCTACGTTTTCAGTGATGTCGCTGTCACATAAATAAAGTTAGGTTAAAGGAAAATGCGAAGAAGGCATACTTGAATTATTTTAGTAAGCGGCTTACAGCCATAACTCATAACTAATATGACTTTGGAAACGTAAAGAAGAAAAAAAATAAAATTAAAATAAAGAATAAAAATAACATACATATGAAAGAGTCTTAAGGTTTTCAAAGCCGAGAAACGTGAAAAAATCAACTTTGTCCTCAACGAATTTTGATTATAATCAAGGATTTTTCAATTATAAGCTAAACGGGTATGCTAAATCACTAACCACAACAGTACGAATGGGGGGAGAAGCAATAATTCCTCATACATATGATAAGATGCAACAAAATAAATGCATACTCAATATTATAATATCTATCACTTTAACATAATTATGTTATGTTATACAATTTACATTGCAATTTTATACAAGCAATTCCATATCAGACTACTATACAGTCGAACACTCGGCATTGTAAAAAAATCCACAAAAACCTACACAAACATCATTAGCGTGCAGTTCAATACACTGAACTGAATCAACTATACCGTACCACGCTAGAAATGTACACTCTATTAAAATACGATTCACAAACCCGAAGCATGTATGCAATATCATAATATTCACGGTGTCAGCATTAACAGTGCAATACCCGCGTTAAAGAATCGTACACTGTTTTCACAAATTACAAAATTATTTAAAGGAAAATAGGTACAAGATACAATAAAATTTAATCTTAAGTATGGACATTACGTGCATACAAAAATTTCCTTTAAAGAAGACTTTGAAAGATGATCTCTGATGGTTTTGTATATATTGTTCTATGCGTTTAAATGCATGGCTAATTTTAGGCGGAATTTGAGCTGATGCATGACAGTTAGTCAATGGTTTTCTCAAGTTAAATAAATAATGGGCTGTGTCATCGACTCTCCACAATGACACTGTCCAATCTGAAACAGAGGCGGCAAAGACAGTTGACACATCGGCAATGACCAGTTAGATACTGCAAAAAAGCGGCTCTTCCTTCGGTGAGAATGTTAGAATACTCAGGAAAAATACCATGCTAGTGAATTCCGTATTTCAGCAACATGCTCTTTCTGCCTGTGTTAGAAATTCCGTGTCAGTTTTTAAATGCGATCCTGGGGCCAGAAAGTTTGCTACACTGTGTTCTGTGACTACACGTCTGGTAATGGAGTCTGTCTCCTCTTTTCCTACCTTTTCTTTGTGAGTGGGAATTAAAAAGCTAGCCTGCACACCATTACACATTGTAATTGGATTATAAAAATGTTCCACTGAAAACTCCGGAGGATGCATTAGCCGAGCAGCGGGCCGAGTGGCTGAAGTCGCGAAAAAGTAGCAGTCCTTCTCGAGTTCCATATCCTGCAGTTAAAGGCTGTTGGTTGCATTTAACGTTTTTCTTCGTGTATAACATAAAACAGGCCAGCAGTCCCTTCGATAGTTGGATTAACTATCGAATTAACAGTCCCTTTGATAGTTGGATGATACTTGGAATTATGACCAGTCCCTTAGACAATTTTCCGTTAATGTTCAATAGCACAACCTCGATTTACTATAATAAAATAATCCTAATCTTATCAGATGGCTGCTTCAAATACAAAATTTCGGAAATAACAGCTAAAAAACTAAATTGAAATCTTCGCATTAGACATCTCAATTAAAATTTGAGTAATCTTTTCAGTGGCCGAGTAATACGACCACTGAACACCGTAACTTTAATCCGCCTTCGTAATCCAGCGAATGGGTTGGCTGCATGGACTTTTCATGACCTGCACGTATGTAAAGGTGAATAAAAACTAGTTTCCCTTAAAACGCCCTTCATGAAAGCGTCCCTTACCTTAGGCAGACAGCTCTCGACTAATGCCGCAAACAATTAAAGAAACAACACTTTGCAACCTGTTTAAAAAATCTTTACATCTGAAATGTGAATTACGAGGCATGTTTTTAAGTACTATTTTGATAGTGCATAAACACAAAGACAATTTCTTTATTAATTTTATTTTTACATGAAAGCCTGGTTCTTATTCAACTTTTGAACATAATTTTCATCTACATTAGGGCGCTTATCGTATCATACGATCCGCTTCTGAATTTCATTTTCTTAGAAATCTGCCGCCTGATTTGGTAACCATTTTTGGTGCCCAGTATTAGCACAGCTTTCGATAATTAAAGCGTTGTGTCATACTTTTATACAGAACACTTCATAAAACGTGAGGAAACTTGATTAGACAATGATGAAATCGTAAACTGTCTCTTTTCTCAAAATTTTCGTCAACTTTTTCGTTAATGATGGACGATCGCCCACTTCGTCTCTCATTAACAAGTTTTACGATTTTATCATTATCGACGGAGTTTTCTCTAGTTTCATGAAGGATTCTGAATGAAACTGTAACAGAATGCTTAAATTACGGAAGGTTGTGTTCACGTTAGGTGTCAAAAATGGTTATTAAATCAGACGTCAAAATTTCAAGAAAGATGGTATTCAAAAGCTGGGTATACAACATGATAAGCGCATTGATGTAAGTGGAAATAATATTGAGTAGATTAAGACTAAGATGTAAAAATAAAATTACTTAAAAAAATTTCCCTAACGTTTGTATAATATGAAAACAGTACTACTTAAAAAGCATGCCTCATATAATTTAATATAAGAAAAACTAAGACTAAAAAACAAGAATAT